TTACTTTCCATACAAACAATTATTTTTATGTCATGGGTGACTTTTGCTGGCTTTCGCGATTAATTTCAGTTATTCCCAAATTTATTTCCAAGTCATGAAAATTGTTATCGTCGCAAAAAATCATGTAAAAAAAAAAGATTAAAATAAAAAATTGATGAAAACAATTACAGTAATGAAAACCTGGGAAATCTAAAATTTCTCTAATATAAGCTATTGAAAGTTAGAGAGTTGTGTCCCTTCATTTGAAAAAGCATGACACAGATATTGTCTCTTGATCAAATAGTGGATTTCCCTACTTGTTTCCCTAATAATTTTGAGCAACATGCTTCTTTACTTGATTTTTTTCCTTGCCGCCTCTCCTAACTCTTGTCGAGCATCACAACTCTGTCCTCTTGGCAATTCAGATTATGCTGTAGTTATCTGTCTATATTTCTGAGATGAGGTATTATGTACATTATTTACATTATTCAGACTATTGTCCTCATCTTTGTCGCCATATTTATTACAACGTTTCAGCCGTTGTACACTCCAGCCTTCTTCAGGTGGTTGGAATGTTGAACTGAACCCTTTATTTCACTCACCGGAGTAGACTGTTCTAGTTCCACGTGCCATGTTTTTTTTTTGTTTTTTATAAAATATATATAATGTAAATAATATGCTGTAGTTAGTATCTGTTTTTTCTTGAATGCCCATTCTTCTAGATCTTTTTGCATTAATACAGGTGCCCCCCCCAAGGATTCTATCTTTGGACTGACATTCTTCCTAATTTTCAACAACGATCTTCCTGAGGAATGCTTGTTAATTTTAATGCTGCCAAAACTGCTCTCATATAATTTGAGAGAACCCTTTTTACCTTCCATCAGTATGGTTTATGCTAACCTCCAGGACTAATGTTTTCTGCTGACATGAAGTGGAAAGATTATATTGACTCAATTGTTAGGGCTGCTGATTAGAAAGTTGATTCACTATGTTGTGCTAGTTAATTTTTCTCTAATTTATCTTACATATTTATAAATCTATCATTTGTCCATACATTGACTATTGCTGCCACATCTGAGCTGGTGCTTCTGCTATATATTTACAGATTCTTGATGAAATACAAAGAATCTACAATGCTATTTGTCCTGACCTGGTATCTCAGCTTTAGCTACTTTCCCACTGCTGTAATGTAGCTTTCCTGTATTTTTCCTATAAATATTTTCATGGTAATTATTCTGATCTTTCCTCTATGGTACCTAGACTTTGATTTTAAGTGCAGTGTTAGATGGCAATCATTTTACAGTTGATATTTTTAGTTGCAACTGTGAATTATATGCAAAGAGTTCTTCTCTCACAATTCTTACTTGTGAAACTCTCTTCCAGCTTCTTGCCTTTCAGTCAACTTTGCATTTAAATTTCTGAAGATCAATGTCAATCGTTATCTTCTGTCTTAATTCCTGTTCTTTTATTGTTCTCTCTCCTTACTAATGTTTTTTCTTTTTGTATTCTCTCACACTCAGTACCCCCCCTTACATCTTAGTGGCTTTATTTCCTTGCTTGAGGTGAAATGATTTTAAAAAAAAAATGAAAAAGAATGTTTGCTTTATTTGCCATTGTTATTATAAAAATTTGAGTACATCAGTACTTCAATAACTGAGTTTGTCTTAAAACACAGTATAAGAAGGGGAAAAAATGTTGATCCTATATTTTAATATCTGTCTATATTTCTGAGATGAGGTATTATTTATATTATTCGGACTATTGTTCTCATCTTTGTCGCTATGTTTATTACAACGTTTCAGCTGTTGTACGCTCTGGCCTTCTTCAGGTGGTTGAAATGTTGAACTGAACCCTTTATTTCACTCACTGGAGTAGACTGTTCTAGTTCCACGTTTAATGGATGTCAGTTATCAGTTATCTCCTGTTAATTCCCCTCTGCATGTTCTCCTCTCCTTAACCAGGTATTGAACTCACACTCTTTGGGTCCTGTCACTGGATCTAACTAATGCCTTTATCCACTGTGCCATGTATTTGAGGACATCTATGTATGAATTTCTGGGTATTATAAACCTAATGTCTTCAGCAACTAGTTTTTACCAGTGTTCATATTGCAATTTTTGCTGTTATCATTTCATGTTTTTACCAGAGCTCGTATTGCAATTTTTGTTGTTATTATTGCTTTTCTCTGGCACTCCTTATTGTATTCATTTCTATGCTTGGTCGGCTCAGGAGATTTTTGTGGCCTAGCATATGTGCTGATTCCTTAAGTTTACGAATTTGTATATGGTCTCAACCTGATACCACAGAGGGTGGTGATCTCCCTTTTCTCTCCATATGTGGTCAGCCATACCTGATTTTTCCACTTCCCCTCGTGTTACTGTAAGTGGGTGGCCTGTCTCTCCTTTATATTTATTTCCACAGCTGCATGGGATAGCGTACATACAGTCTTTAGTCATGTTGTCCAGCTTTTGAAGGTTGTCCTGATGTTATATTTACTGCAGATCCTTTGTATTTTCTTTGATAACCCCTTCACATAAGGCAGGCAGACTGTTTTCTGAGTGTTGTTGTTCTCCTCTTGTACTTGCCTATGCCAGTTTTTTGGGGCTGCTGCCATGTACCCAAGTAGTTGTTACGTTGTAGGGTACTACTTATACTGACTAATTCTATATCTAATGTCTCTGGGTCACCACTTATGACTTTTACTTGGTGTTGTAAGCAGCAGACAATCCCTTTCTTTACGCTGTATGGATGGTGGGAGTTAAAATTGAGATACCGTTTGATGAAAGTTGGTTTATAGTATAAAGATATCTTGAATCCATGCTCTCTTTGAGATATTAGAACATCCAGGAATGGAGGTGTGCTGTTACTCTTTTTCTCTATCATGAACTGTATCGAAGGTCTTATTGAGTTCACATGGTCCAGTAAAACCTGAACATCTTCCTGATATGGTCAGAGTATGAAGGTGTCATCTATGTACCTTAACCATAGAGTTGGCTTTAGAGATATAGATTCTAATGCCATTTCCTCAAAGTATTCCATGTGTACATTCGCCATTGCTGGTGATAATGGCGAGCCCATTGCTAAGCCCTCATCCTGTCGATATATGTGTGATCCCATTCCAAAGTGTGTTGTTTGTGTACAGAAAGTCAACATCTCTATCAGATTATCTATTGGAATACTGGTCCATTCTTCTAGGGATGAGTCCGAGGCCAATCTGTCTCTGACTACTGAGAGTGCCTCCCCCATGGGTACCTTGATGAACAAACTCACCACATCCAAGATCACCATCTGGTTTGATAGGATGGGAGCATCTTTGATTATTTCCATGAAGTGGGTGGTGTTTCGGACATATGAAGGAGACTCTCCAATCAGTGGATCAATTATATTACAAGGAAGCGACTCAGAGGGTGGCACACAGAGCCTTGGCAACTAACATTCGGCCTGAGTGGAATACCGTCTTTGTGAATCTTAGGGAGACCATATATGTGAGGTAGCTTGGTGTAACACTGTAGTGAAATAAAGGGTTCAGTTCGACATTCCAACAACCTGAAGAAGGCTGGAGCATACAACAGCCGAAACATTGCTGCCCACTTCTCATGTCACTATGCACCTGTTTTGACCTTTCATTGAACCACCTGTGTTGTTTGATTTCATCATAACATGTTCACCACAGTTGATTTTTAATAGGACTGTTTCACTAGTACTTTTACCAATCTTAACCCAAAACTTTGTTAATCCACTGCTCCAGATTCCTTTCACTTGTTTTTTGCCAATAGTATAACACGAGCATATACAAATTCCTCTACTGCTTGGTCAGCATCTCAAGAAAGTGTAAGTTGGAATATGTCTGGACATGCTCAGGTACAAATATTTGCCAGATTCATTACCCCAGTGCTACACTGATCATTCTGGAAATTGTCATACCTTGTATAATAGAAATTTTATTATTAAAAAATAAATGATATATATGATAAAAATATAGTTTCAAGGTATGCTATATTTATGGGTAAAAGTGCTCAGTATCAGGAATAGCGTATATATATATATATATATATATATATATATATATATATATATATATATATATATATATATATATTATCTTCAACATCATCACTTGATAAGACACCGAGTGTGTTGAAACAAAATGGCTATTTTTGTACTGATTTTATAACATACTTATGTTATAATTTTTTTTATAAATAATAATTATATATATATATATATATATATATATATATATATATAAGTGGGCAATGAGGTCAACACCAAGCAGTGACAGTCTGTTTCATGTTTAAATGCAATCTTCTGGCCATATATATATATATATATATATATATATATATATATATATAAAGTGGGCAATGAGGTCAACACCAAGCAGTGACAGTCTGTTTCATGTTTAAATGCAATCTTCTGGCCATATATATATATATATATATATATATATATATATAAATATAAAGTGGGCAATGAGGTCAACACCAAGCAGTGACAGTCTGTTTCATGTTTAAATGCAATCTTCTGGCCATATATATATATATCTTCTTTTTTAGTTGACATAATACTTAATTGATTTAAGTTGCTATTTAAACTATTAATCCTGTTGTAAATAACTGAAAATAAATAATTCTTAAAATAGAGAAGAGTTATGATTACTTCTTTGTATCTGTAATTACAAGATAATGCTTGTTATTTTTACTTAGATTGAAAGTATTTTAAATAATGTGACATTCAATCTTATTTCTAAATGCCAAAAGAAATTACCTGGTTTTGCATGAGTCATCGTAAATCTATGCAGATTCTTAAATAATTTACTTAGATATTTTTTTTTTATTGCATTTTATAATTGTAAAGGCAGAAGTTAAATATTAGGTATTAGGTTCACTTTAACAATAATAATCAGAAATTTCCTATCAGAAAACATTGATTTGGTTGAAGCTCATTTTTATGATTTATAGATATTAAGATTTGTATTTTACTTTCACTATGCAGATCTCGAGTGAAGTCGGAGAAAGATAATGTATCAGCAGGTAAGTATTTTCTTTTATTTCCTTGGTTTAAATCAAATAATACCTGCAAAAAGATTTGTTCAATTTAATGTGTTGCTATCAAGCAATAGACTAAAGGTAGCTTTGTTTGATACTAATAACTATGTCTGCTTAACATTAACTACACAATTTAAGTAAATATGTACAAAATGTTTAATACTGTTAACCTTAATTAAATTGATTAATTTTAATACTTCAGTTAAACTAATGCAACTTAAATGTAAGTAAACTAAATATTAGATCATATAGTGTCCAAGAAAATTAGTTTGTAATCCCAAAAGTCTCATGACAACAAAAGTTCCAAAAATGACAGGGATTGAAGATAATGCAATGATGTTGTTTGTTTAGTGTTAGTTATATGTAAGTCTTCAGTTTTCTTAGATGAAGCTTTGCCAATTATTAATGATACTAGTATTAATTCTTCTTTGTTAGAAGTGAAAGTTGCATAATGATTAATTATTTTGAAAATGGAATTATCAACAGCATGAATTGTAGTTGAAAGCATTTGTTAATTTCATATTAATGTCCTTCAGAATTCAAATTACACCATTTCATTGTTAATTATCTTGAACATGATCTTTTTACAATGGAAGAGGAAAAGAGTGTGTGGATAGATAAGCAATTCACTGACCCAAGTCAAAGTAGCAAAATGGCTACTGTAGCCATTGTTAGCCTGGACTAGTAAGTATTGTGAAGCTTTTAACTTGTAATATATTCTGTCTTAAGAACAAATACTACAAAATATTAAGCCTTGAAAAATTAATGTTTTTATTAGACGAATATTTTAAATTGTATAAAGTATTTAATAATAGTACTTAATAAAAAGTGATAATCGCATAACTGTTTATTTTGAATTTTAAATTTGGTTATGAAAAATAAATTTGTTATAATTATGGTTAATGAAGGTTTTGATTCAGGGAAAACTTATTTCTAATGGCAGTCTCTTTTATACACCTCAGAATTGTCTTGTCTGATCAAGTAGCTTTCCAATATCATTTTGATACCTACCTTTGTTTTATATTAGTAAATATTTTTATTTTTTTTCATTAAAGGTATTGTATTCTGCATTTTTCAAGTTTTTAGCATGTCACATTTCTACTGAAGCATTGTTATACATAACTTGAGAGAAAATGAAAATACATTGGCTGATACTACTTGAGAAGTTTAAATAGAAATATATAAACAATCCTTAGTTGTCTATCTCTACTTCCTATATATATATATATGATAAAAGTATTCCGCACCTGAAGATTTGAAGTTTGCATGAAAGTCCAAACTGTGCTATTGACATCAGATATTATGTATATTCACTTATATATATGTGTGTGTGTGTGTATATACACAAGGTAGTGTTTAAAAATTATCATCAAAGAATGGATTCCAAAATAAATTGATATTTGGTCAAAATTCAAGATGTGACTCAGCCCCCCAATTTTTTTTACCTCCCCTCCAACTCAACTCACCTTACATATTAGGTTGAGTCATGAGTAAACTTTCTTTTTGAGGACAAAATGTAATAAAATATATATCATCTTAACTAATAATTATATGTGGTAATTAAGAATAAATTTATAGTACAACAACATACTTTAGTTTTTGCATAGCAGTGGCAGCATACACAATAGATTAAAGGTAAAATATTGTTCTCATCCACAAGACTGAATACACCAAGAACAACAAAGGCAAAAATTTTGGAACTCACTTTGTCTGTTTTATTCAGCTGAACTTGCATCAACCAATTATTTTTTCAATTATTTCAAAATACTTTGATGGGGAAGCTTTCTATAATGAAAACCAGATTCAAAAGTTCGTTGGTGGCTTTTTCACATCAAAACCTGCAGAATTTTTACTCCAAAGGTTATAAAGAGCTGCCTGATAAGTGGCAACAAATCATTGTAAGTAATGGCAAATATATTGGGTTGGCCAAGCAGTTAATTTGGTTGATTAAGTAAATTTTCAACTTAATAAGTGAACAAGCTTTTTGCCAACCCAATATAGTATATATAGAATAAAATGTAATTGCAGTCTTTTTTAAAGATCAAACTTGTTAAACAAAAATGAAAATTATTTGACTCAACCTAATGAAATCTTTTTCTTCACTGATGCAGACATTTCTGCTTGATAGATTCAATGCTAACATTCCTTAGAAATTGTATGCTTTTCTTTTATTTTTTATTTATCTATACAGGGTGTGATGGGTAAATTGTCGCTATTTTATATTTTTAATTTTGTACCTGCAACTTGTTTTTGATTTTGTCAACTGTACAGCATAGTAGTGTCAGTTGGACACCGTCTGTGAGAAAAAGAGCACCATGATGCAATTCGCTCCACCAGGAATTTGGAAACAGTATTCTGTACTGCTTGGCATTTGCAGTGGAAGCTCCAATACAAACATTTCAGAGTGTTTGGGTATCAATCTGAGGACTGCAGAGGATTTGGAAAGAGTTGGATGAGTCTAATGGTGATTAACAAAGGTACAGAAGCTTGAAAAACTCACTCTGATCGCTCGGATAAGAACTCCCAAATTTGTTGGTGAGGGCCTCAAACTCAACGTGGAGGCCTACATCAAGTGCCTGGGTCAAGAGAGTGGCTTCTATCAACAGAACTCTGCATCATGTTACACAAGTAGGAGAACCCAGTCATGGCTGTAAGACAATTTCTGCAACCATGTCACCTCTTACATCTGGCCACCTAACTGCCCAGACTTCAGCCTTCTTGATTGTGAGTGGGCTGCAGTTGAGTGAGAAACCAACAAAACTCCTTGTAACACCAAAGATGAACTAAAAACAAGGATTATGGCAGCATTCACCAACAAGGAGACTGTCCAGAAGAGTTGCAAGAGATTCTGAAGTCATCTGGAGACCACAGCTAAAGCCAATGGTGATTTAATTGAATAAATTCACTCTTTAGTATTTCAAGATATTTTTGTGTAATTTTGGTAAATATATCTGTTAAAATGAGAATTTTATTTTTGCGTAATTTAGATGACAATTTATCCATCACACCCTGTATATCTTGATTTTTGAATGTATACAGCAATCTGCGAAATGCCAAAGTGTGAGAATTAGAATTTTATTATTTATTAATTTCACTTTGTAACCATTATGATGTAAAGTTTCAGATAATGTCACAAATTAATGCTAAGGAAATAAAAAAGGTCATAGTTATTTTTTTATTTCTTTTCTATAAAATAAGTAGAAATACATTCAGTTTGTGCTGATAATTTTACACTATATAATCAATGGCTAACAATGTGGAATTACTATTTTTTATTGTATTTGCTTTTAGAAATCATCTAAGTGTGTAAATAGGATTCTTCATGAATGTGCCTAGAAAACTTCATAAAAATGGTTTTCCAACTTTGTGGTAAGATCATTTGGGAGTAGTAACAAAAGGTTAAGTTCTTCATATTAGGCTTTAGCTATCTTTCATGTCTCTCTTAAAACTTTGTAAATTTGATTTATTCAAAATCTGACATGTTCCACATGTCGGTCATGCACAACTATGATGACATCTAAGGTTGCTTGTATGCGTATATACACCCAGTTAGCTGTGTTCACAAGTTTGTCTCCTTGGCCGTGATTGAATTTGACAAAGAAAAAGGACATGCTTTTCAGGACACTGATTGGGAAAATAGCAAACAATACAATTTCTCATTTAACTGGCAAATCTTACTTCGGCTTCATTGAGGTGAGCTGCTATCTTACTAACTTCTGGCCACGCAATGAAAAATTATAATTTTCTACATCAGTATTTTCTTTATTTTTTATTCCATGGACAGAATGTGTTCGGTTCAAGTAATTTTTTTTTCTGTTAACTATTAACTTTATTGAACAAGTTTTAGCATTTTTGTTTCCTTTCAAGTAATTTTATAATTCCATCCTTCCAGAAATTTATATTTTCTCAGCAAAGAATAGCTATAGGTGCTTTTTGCAGTCTTTCAAGGAATTGAACTTTTTTTCTATTTTTAAAACTAAGGAAATTTTGTCAAAACCAAAATAAGTGGCACTTTTTAGACACAATATCTGGTGACTATATCAGATAAGTGAAAAATAATAATTTTTATCTGGTTAACAAAGAAACCTACATTTTTACATCATTTTGACACAATATGACTTCTATCCTTTCTTATTCTGTATACTATTCATTAATTGTTACTTTCATTTGGTCTAATTAAAAACTACTTGTCTGAAGCAATTGTTTGCTTCTCTGAAAGGGTTCTTTTGTGTAGTACTGCCTTCCAATCTCACTCTATGTAGAATGTGACTTTCTTTTGCAAGGGCCTCCATGTATTTTTAATGAAAAATCTTCAAAACTTCTATTAAAGTTTTATCATAATGATATTTGTACCATTAGTAAAAAGAAATATTAAAGAAAATTCTGCAATAGTACCAGACAAGTGTTTGAAAAGTTGTTTATACAGTATAAAGCTCTGGCATAATAATTTGCATGAGAAAAAAATACTCAGGATTTAAAATCTGCTAATTATCAGATTTTATTTTTTTATTTTATTTTTTTTTTTAAATGTATTTATTTATGAATCAATTCATAACAAAGCCATTTTGGAAGGAAAGTTTATGGAAATAATTAAAATTTTATTTCAAACTTCAATCTGGTATTTAGGAAAATGGCCTAAATCTGAAAAGAATTTTTAATGTGTGGAAATTTTTATTTTCCATGGACACTTCTGAAATAACTGATTTAATAACCAAGAAATATAAAGTTTAACAAAATCCAATTAGACAGATTTTTACTAGATTTTTTTTTTTTTTTTTTTTAATTATTTACAATATTTATGTAATCAGTATGTATGAAAGATTACTTGAAAATAATAAAAGTATCTTTTAGTTATCTTTGGCACTTTTTAGTATTGTACATTGAAAAAAAGGTTTTTAACATTTTTGGTTACCCATACTTTAACTAAGCCATGATAAGCTCATAAATTTAATCAGATTTTCATTAATGTAATCAAAGTAATTTTG